GTGATAACTGATCTAGGAGAAGCTTGGCCCCTCGCGAATAGTTTGAACGATTACGTAATTCATGAGATTCTAATATTTAACGCAAAGATCGATCCTTATTACTGCCTGGAAGTTCTGTACGTTTTATAAAATTATTTTTGACCCTTAAATGGACTCTCAATGTCAACTGAATTATTCTACTTAATGATTCTTACCCAATTAGTAAATGGAAATCAACTTTCCTTTAAGGCATTTAAAAAATAATGAACTAACGGAGGATTACATTTATTTTACACAATAATCCATTTAAGGGTTAAGGAACAATTTATCCTGCGTTAAAAAATATTTCATATTAAAACGTACAGAGGGGAAAATCTATAGATATTATGCAAAGTTATCAAAGTGGTCTTCCTTCACATGAGTCCACCGTCCGCCTAAAGTCCCCCGCGCTGCTACTGAATACAGAACGCCTACTTTTCGAGAAACATCTGGATGTGCACGTGTATTATCAACCTTCCGCGGGGCGATTAGCATACGAGACCCGCCACTCGCTCGGAGAGTAGAAAGTATAGATAACCGTTTTGAATTGTTGCCATTCTAATCTGAATTATCGAGACACGCGCTATCTGGTCGGAATCCAAACGGTCAAGAGGAATGCGGACCGATTTGCGTGTCGGTAACGTATCCCTCTAACGATTCTTGCGACATGGAATTGCAACACTATCCAAGGGTCGACGGTAATCGACGCCGTACGCCGGTTACCAAATAATTAAGTACCGATTTCTCGGCGAGTTGAAAGCCAGATTCGAAACGGGAGTTACGCGCGAGCTGCGAATGAACTATTACCGGAGCTCGAGTGCAGTTTTCATATAGAGCGCGGTATACGTGTCGGAGGATTTAGTGGAGAGAGGATAAGGAACTCGGTTGCTGGTAGAGCAAGGCTGAATTCGTATGAATGCAGAATTTGAAATAGCAGACAGGAATGGAGATGAATAATGCTATGAGAATGCGTTAAGGCGAAGTTATCGGTCGGTTCCTTGGACCATTTTCTCTTTGACGGGAAATACTGTCGATTTCTCATAATTTTTGCGTTAAGAACTCGAATGCAATTCAGGATGGGTATATTAAACTTGGACGAGTCGCCACTGCGAGTCCTCTCAAGGCGAACTGGTAAAATCGAGTTTTAAGAGCTCGCCGAACACCTGTGATTGGTTGAACGGGACTGTGACATTCTACTTTATTATCGCAGGTGCATGGGAACCTATGCGTTTTCTACTTTTATATTCTCGTTCTCTCGTTTAATTTCTATCGTTTCCACGTTTCTATAGCTTTTATTTATCCTCATCTCCATTTTGCTCTTTGTATTCTTGGAATCATCCGGGGGCTTGTTGGCTGCTTTCGCGGAGCTATTTTCTGTTTCTCCTGGTGGAAAGAAGGCCGATGCTTGGAAGGAATTGCAAGTCGTATCGGGTAACACGAGGAATACTATATTACTCTCAAAATGGGTGGACCAAGTTCTTTAATAGATCGAAAACTTCAAACGTTCTTTGAAAATTAACTTAAAATCACCTAGTCAAGTGAGCGGATAATCCAAGCCTCAAAACCCGTGTTTTATCGTCGATTTTTTCACTTTTCTAAACACAGTGCGTTCACAGTCTTCTTCTTCCTTTCACCTAAGAATCGCAGGAACAGCGAGTCGAATATCCCAACGAAATAAACAGGGCACCGACGCGAGCCGCTCATCGAGACATTTTTCGGAACTCGTTAGAAAGGCAATTTAACTTTCCACACGAGCGTTTAATGCAACGACGTTATTGACTTTACGCGACTTTCTCCGCGCGCACTTCGAACGCAACGTTGGCCCAAACAATGGCCGCTCGATTTGAATTTTTCCACGCGTCCCCCGTTTCTCGATACACGGGAGTCGCGTCACGAGCACGCTCGCGGGGAATCGTGAATACCAAGACAGCTGGATCCTGGACCGGTATGAATTTCACATGGCCCTTCGAATCCCTTTTCGAACGTTTCCCGTTCGTGGGAAAGGTAACCGCGAGTGCGTCACGTCGCTGCGTAAAATATCACCGGAAGGTCGCGTCTCTTCTCTCCTTTTCCCCGTATCTCTCGATCTTTTTTTTTTCTGGCGTGCAAAAAAAAAAATCAATAGACAGCCGCAGGAAATTGAATTTGGCCCGCGCGGACCGTGGGGTCGTCCGCGTGTATCGTTGCGTCAGAGATGCTAGACGGTGCCCTGGATGCACCGGGGACACCTCATTCCACTTGCTCACACTATCGCCAGATCACTCATACGTGAGCTCGCTGAGTTTCGACAAAGGAAAACTGACACATGTCCTGAATTTTCCTAAAGGTCTCTGCTGACCATTGCTAAGACTTCTGACAATGTATAACGATTACTACTGACTGTTGACAGTCTCTGCTGGCCTCTTCTGATCATTGCTGACCACTGGTAATACCTCTGACAATGTATAAAGATATACTATTGACTGCTGTCAGCCTCAGCCAGCTTCTACTGGCCTACTGACCACTTCTGATATATCTGGCAACATATAACGATTACTACTGGCTACTGTTTGTCTCTGTTGGCCTTTGTTGGCCACTAATGGCCACTGATGACCACTGATGACCACTCCTGATACTTCTGACAACGTATAACAATTACTACTGGCTAGTACCAGCCTCTCCCAGCCTCTGCTGACCTCTGCTGACCACTGCTGACCACTTCTGATATATCTGACATTATATAACGATTAGTACTGGCTACTGTTTGTCTCTGCTGGCCTTTGCTGGCCACTGATGACCACTGATGACCATTTCTGATACTTCTGACAACGTATAACAATTACTACAGGCTAGTATCAGCCTCTCCCAGCCTCTGCTGACCACTGTTGGTCTCTAGATGCCTCTACTGGTGGCTAACTCGAGTTAGCAGGTAGTCATAAAACTGTTTTACCCAGTTACACCCCTTTTTACCTGAAGCAGAAGACAGCAGAGACAAACAGTAACAAGTAGTAATCTTTATACCAGAAGTATTAGCAGTGGTCAGCAGAGGCCTGTAGGAAAATTCAGGTCGTTTGCCTTTGTCGACTGTCCGAAACTCTGCGAGCTCACGTATGAGTGATCTGGCACAGTGTGAGAACGTGGAATGAGGTGTCCCCGGTGCACCCGTGGCTCCGTCTGGCATCTCTGCGTTGCGTGCCAGCCGACGAGGAAAAAAGGTGAACCCGGCGCGAAGGAAATAGCGCTGTCGGTCGGACACGAACCGAGCCGCCTCCATCGAGATTCATTCGATTTCTAGCCCGTGTGAAAAATATGCTCAACCCTTTGCACTCGTTCGTCTGTTCCCAGTCATCCAGCTGGATATCCATTCCACTCGCACGTCCGTTCACCGTCGCTGGAAACTCGATGTGTATTGCGATCCTTTGTGCCGCGTGTACACCTGCTGACACCGAATGTGATGGATGGAGAACGGTAATCGTTCTAACTTCTGCGCGTCTGAATGTTTTTATCGTCATCGATTGCCGATAGTTCCGCCCAACGTACAGGGCTCCAGGGAATTTAGGCTCTAATCTTCTTCGAAATTATCGCTAACAGACGGTTCGATTTTTATTAGATCTCTCGTTCTATTCTGGAGCGCGGTTATCGAAATATTTTAAATGTTTTGGCGAGAGTGGCTGGTCGGGATCGAGTTGGTGCGAATTATTATCGACTTTATTAATTGTTATCGAGTTGAGAGGGAAGTTGGAAAATACTGATTGATCACGCGAAAAAAGGTCACGTGAAAAATTGATACACCTTTTGCAGACAACGTGGCACGTTGCTAGGCGTCGCGATATCAGCGTTCCGTTTCCATTACTTCGTTTGTTCGCTTTTAATAAATTAAAGGGGGAATTTATCGAATTTCTCTTTTACAACTGTAATCAAGGGACTCGGGGAAGTAAAGTAATTGGCAAATGTCCCCAATCATCGTCACGGAAATTAATCAATTATCGACGCCCATTTTCCAGCGACAATAAGAGCAAGAAACCGTTTGAAAAAGTTGCATGTCGATTGCTGGTCTCTCGCTTCCAAGTGTTTTAGACCGTCGACTCTCGATCTGAACTTTCGTTTTAGCAACCACGATCTCTGCAACACGGTACCTTTGATTCGCTTATATGTGCGACGACAGAAATGCCGGTAAATCTTTCCCAGAGTTCGAAAGCGCGTCGCCAATCTGCGATCTGAATAGATCGTCTGACGAAAGGCTAACGGGACAAATTGCATAAGAAAGAATTTCCCAGAACGAATGGTATCTTTTGTTCCTTTTGCAACGTGTGACCGTACGTTTGTCTCGCTACGAGATGACTCGTCCCGTTCCCCGGCCAGCAAACTGTTTTTTCCCTACAACTTCGGGCGCTAATACGACGAGATTATATCGTCTGCTTTAACGAGTTACCGCGAAGGTACCTCGAAGTAACAAGTTGTGGGAAAAATAATTCAAACCAGACGTAAGACGTAAGGGTACCGAATTAATCTCTCCTAATGGAACACTTATGTATGTACGTACGTACGTAATTTACGATTTTCGTCGTTCACTTCGTCGATTTACAATTCCTAATAGTCGGCAGCGTTGTTATTCGCGTTCCCTGCAATATCGCGAGCGACTCGACGGAACCCTGGAGGAAAGTTTCGTAGGAGCGTGTGCGAAAACAATTCCAGCGCCGTCTACGAATGCACCTTAAGGATACGGTGTAATCTAAACGCGCTGGGAAAGCCTCGCGACGGAATATTGAAAAACAGGAATGGCGTGGCCCCTCTTTGGCCCGCGTCGTGCAGCAGACAACTCGCGAAAATGAATTCCGGAGTCGACTGAGGCTCCGGGATAGATTGAAAGGCGTCGCGGGGAAAGGAGGTCGTTCTTAAAAACGGAGCAACCTTTCGTTCGATTTCGTAGATAAAACATTAACGGAGTTGACCAAGCTTTTTATGGATAAACGAGTTTGAAAAGATTTTTTATGGTAACTCACCTTCCTCGTCGCTGCCGATCATGGCGTAACGCTCGTATCCAGTGAGATTCCTGACGGCGCCCAGCCCGAAGTCGTCCTTCGTCCACTGAATGGGTCCCTTCTGATCGAGTACGCGGCAAGGAAGCGTCACACGGCTACCGATCACCGCGGTCTGATCCATCGGCTCGATCGCGAATCGCTGATAAACTCCTTCCGTGGTCGTGATCGGCGTCATCGTGGAAGCCAAGGGTGACACGTTCGTCATGTTCGTGGCGGACGTCGTCCTCGTTCCCAGTGTCAGCAGCAACGAGAGCCAGATTATGGACGACGTCGATCTCGACGCGATCCTCGTTCTCCTGCTGGAAACGATAGAGACGGAATTGTTAGCGAGAACGATCGCTATAGAGGCGAGTTTACGTGAACGTGTACGTCGTTTGACTCGCGTGCGCTATATCGAAATGGCGAAATTAAGTGGTTACGATTAATTATTACGGATATAACATAAAAAAATTTTCAATTCGTCCTGAAAAAATTATTTTCAGTTGTGGGGGTCGATTGCAATCACTTTTGGTCAATAGACATGCCCTCGAAATCCTAAGCACTTTCCAGAAAAAAATTCATTTCCGAAAATTGCATGTCTGACCATATCTCTGGTCGTTTCCCTTAAATTTCATGCGTATCTTTAAAACGCCATAACTTTTGAACGAATTGGACGATTTTAATGTTTCAAAACGCAAACTACGCGTATTTTGGTGCAGAATATGTAGACATTCCAAGAATATTCGAAAAGTTGTTCCTTAACCCCTGTAAACTGAGAAAATCCCCCACAAAAGTGCTCCAATTTTCAAACAACCATAACTTCTACAGTAGTGAATATATTTTCATGAAACTTTTTTCTGAAGTAGAGCTCATGGGTGCCTACAAAAAAGTATTAAACAACGTTTCTGTAGAGCGTCAAACAAAATCACTAAAAATTTCTAAGAAAAATCGACAGGGGTAGGGGCCTAAATTTTTCGGTGAAAAAAAAAAATTTCAAATCATTTTGAAAAAATTGTTTTCGGTTGCGGGGGTCAATTACAATCGTTTTTGGTCAATAGACATACCCTCGAAATCCTACTCACTTTCGAGAAAAAAATTCAGAAAGGTGGACAAATTTTTCGGTGAAATTAAAATTTTCAAATCATTCTAGAAAAATTATTTTTGGTTGCAGGGGTTAATTGCAATAATTTTTGGTGAATACACATACCCTCGAATTCTTAACCATTTTCCAGGAAAAAATTCGAGTAGGCGGACAAATTTTTCGGTGAAAAAGAAATTTCAAATCATTCTAGAAAAATTATTTTTGGTTGCAGGGGTCAATTACAATCATTTTTGGTGAATACACATACCCTCGAAATCCTACGCACTTTCGAGAAAAAAATTCAGGAAGGTGGACAAATTTTTCGGCGAAATTAAAAATTTTCAAATCATTCTAGAAAAATTATTTTTGGTTGCAGGGGTTAATTACAATCATTTTTGGTGATTAGACATACCCCCGTAATCCTACGTACTTTCGAGAAAAAAATTCTTTACCGGAAATATACTTTGTGGTCAGAAATGTTGCCTTTCTACAGGCGAAACTTTAATAACTTTTTAACGAATTCTTGATTCTCGTCTAATTTTGGTCTCTAGAATCTCCCATTAAAATTTTTCCCAAGGGTGGTCGAATACCCTGTATCTTAAGGCAACGAGTGATGCGTGGGATTAAATCCACGAGAAAATAATTCTCCCAATTATTTAACGAACGAGTTTGCAATATTGGGCGGGAATCTTTCGTAGGAAAACGTGAAATTATTGAAAACGATCGCGTGTCCGGTGCAGCGAGCATTCATCTTGGATCGTCATAACTTCCGCGTAGCCGTGGATCCCAGGCGCGCGCGTAACAATTTTCTCGTGCTTCGCGCTGTAGATTTATCCCTTGAAGCATGGACGCACAATTAAGGATCACCATGAATCCTGAAAGTGTACAAATCTCTGGGTAACGACGCGGTGTTTATGGGCGTGTGCGCGGGCGCGCGACCCAACGCCGTGAATTATTGCGGCGAAGCGTGTCGATCGAAACCGAAGGCGAGGCGCGAGGTCGACGATCGAATTATAGAATTTAAACGCGAAATAAAGGCGACGCTAACGTCCCGGGAGGTCGTAACGCATTTAACGACGGGCGTAATAATATTTCTGAAGTGGTCGCTATTAAGGGTGTCGGGTTCGTTACTCGAGGGACCACGTACGAGCACGCAAAAACCGGGTCATTATTTCGACATTTTTTCCAGAGAATACTGTATCGTTCACACAGAGCAAATCACGATATTTCATATGCTATCTAGCAATGCACAAACTGTATCACTCGAAGATCAGTAAAATTGAAATGGCCATCGTTATCCTGTCGAAAGAGCCACCGAGGTTTCACATAATTCCTTATCTCGTTATATTTATCGAAACATCAGGGAACGATCTAATTTTTGGTTGTATTTTCTACTAAATACTACTAATTCACAAACTGTATCACTGAAAGATCAGTAAACTTAAAATGGCCATCGTTATCCTGTCGAAAGAGCCACCGAGGTTTCACATAATTCCTTATCTCGTTATATTTATCGAAACATCAGGGAACGATCTAATTTTTGGTTGTATTTTCTACTAAATACTACTAATTCACAAACTGTATCACTGAAAGATCAGTAAACTTAAAATGGCCATCGTTATCCTGTCGAAAGAGCCACCGAGGTTTCACTTAATTCCTTCTCTCGTTATATTTATCGAAACATCGGGGAACGATCTAATTTTTGGTTATATTTTCTACTAAATACTACTAATTCATAAACTGTATCACTGAAAGATCAGTAAACTTAAAATGGCCATCGTTATCCTGTCGAAAGAGCCACCGAGGTTTCACATAATTCTTTATCTCGTTATTCTCATCGAACCATCAAGGAACGATCTAATTTTTCGTTATATTATCCCCATGGTGGTCGGTCCAGAGTCCGTTTTAACGATCTTGCGGACAGTGACGTGGCGTCTCCGCGTTCGTTTTACCTTCGAGGCGTCCTTATTTATCTTTACGGTCCCATCGGATTCGGAACCGAGCACGGCCAAGAAGTCGTCGCCGTAAATGGGGCAATAAAACTATGGCCGGCGTGGCGGCAATTTGTTATTGCGCTGCAGAAGCGTACAGCCAGTAGCGTTTCGGAAAGTCGACAAAGGCAAACTGACGCATGCCCTCTTTCTCGAAGGCTCACATTTGCCTTCTCGATCTTGGACAATTGAAATTCGACCTCACGTCAATGGCATACGATTCCAAGTCTCGACTTCCCAGGTATTTCTTACTTTCCGACCTATGTATGTAGACGAACATAAGCAAGGTACTATAACGAAAAAAAATTTTGTGAAATTTTTCTTACGGAAATACACGTTTTAAGACCCCCTGATCATAGTTGAATTATCGAACAAAAATAAATTCTTTTTTATTATTCCTATGTATGAGCGTACATATGTATATCATTTCAGGTATCACTTCTGATACATCTGGCAACGTATAACCATTACTGCTAGCTACTGCCAGCCTCTCACAGCCTTTGCTGACCACCGATTATATTTCTGACAGCTTATATATTTTTTTTCAATAATTCAATTATGATCAGGGGATCTTAAAACGTGTATTTCCGTAAGAAAAATTTCACAAAATTTTTTTTCATTATAGTACCTTGCTTATGTTCGTCTACATACATAGGTGGGAAAGTAAAAAATACCTGGGCAGTCGAGACTTGGAATCGTATGCCGTTGACGCGAGGTCGAATTTCAGTTGTCCAAGATCGAGAAGACAAATGTGAGCCTTCCTCTCTCGACTCCCACGAGGCGGTCCGAAATTACTTCGGGCATCTTCGGAGGATCGAGAAAGAGGGCACGCGTTGGTTTGTCTTTGTCGACTTTCCGTAACTTCACGAGCTCACGTACGCGTGATCTGGCATGTGTGACTGGGGCACCGTCGGTGCTTTTCTGGCACCTCTGACCATATCACGAGCGAACCGAGAAGACCGGTTTTTCTTTTTACGATGCAGTTTCGTCGTCGCAGCGAAAAATACACTCGTCGCCGGGCAATTATTACGTCGGGACGCTTCAACCGGGAACAAAGGGAGGGACGCGTCGTCGGGAAGCACCGAACCGATCGAGAAATACTTTAATAAAACTCGATCGTTCCCCCGTCGTCGAACGGGGGCCGATAATTACATTCGTGGCCGGGGGCGGCGTGATCGATACAAGAATATTATTCGTCGCGTCTCCGTTGGCTTCCTGCGCGCGTAATCGAAGAAACCGACTCGCGAAGTTTGCACTCCGATTCAATACCCATCCATCAGTGTCTTCGTTTCAATCAACATCGATTCACCGGGTCGTGTTTGCGCAACAATTTCTCGTACCCGCAGCGAAACGCGTCTCGCGATCGTCGAACAAGATGCCAAACAGTCGAACGGGGGCCCCACCATCTTAATCGTTCCATCGACCTCTCAATTAACTTTCATTCGCTCGACCCTCCGCAATCGGCCCACGAACGCGCCTCGCCTTCGTCCACCCATCAAATGTTCCAATTGTTTCATTTATTAGACAATTTTTATTATCGTTCGAATTTAAATCGTTTAAAATCTTTTAGAGATCCCGAGAAATCACCAAATCTATGATCACGCGCGTTGTATAAATTCCAAGTTCAGTATCGAGCTTTTCATCATGTAACTAATTTACGTATCAGCAAACGATGGAAATCAGCGAATGATCGATAAATTCTGGCGTTACGAAACAGACAAACGATTCGCATTCGTGAATCAAGCTTATTGCACCGCCATTGTTGTCTAACGTCACGTTTATTGAATACAGTTAGGGATAAAAAGAACCATCGATCAATGTTACTGGAATTAACGTTTCCTTTTCGTTTCTGTAGCGCAATGTACACGCTTCTCTCGATCGAGACGTTGGTATAAATTGTCGTGGTCCGACTCGGCGGCGTCGAATCGGTGGCTTTCTTGTCGCGGCGTGTCAGGCGTTTTCTTGTCGCGGTCGTGTTCCGTTGCACGACAAAGGGAGGATGTCGTAAGACGCCTCGTACCACATCGCGGCCGGCCGCTTCTTACGAGCTCAATAGGATAATAACCCCGGGGGCCGGTCGCGCTACCGACCGAACGAACCGTTTCAATGGTGTACACGGGTAATGGCCGTAATAATAATTGCGCCTGTGCCCGGTTCCATACGATCGTTTCCTACGTCCAATGCGTCTCGGAAGCCTCGAAACGCGTCCGGGTCGACGCGTCGTGCAACGTCCTATGTGGGCCACGTT